CGGCATCTAAGAACACCAGCAAATTAATAAGAGATGAAGTGGCAAGAGCTTCATTTTCTAAGTCCTATTTAATTAATTAATTATTCAAGTAACTCAAGATTGATGCCAATTATGCATCAAAGTACAATTGATTAACTGCAAATTTGACGGGTCATACGTAGATGCTGGATTACTCGAGCTGTATTTCTGCAGCAAAGATTAGAGTCAAAATGGATATATAATCATCATGCTAGTACATGGCATTTTGGAACATAACACTTAATCAATCATGTAATTTCAAGAGAAAAAAACACTAGCATTCTCTCTTGAAGACGTGCCATGGCATCCAAAAGAGTCTTCTCAAATGACTCAAGGTCCAGAATTGATGTAAATTTCAGAAGGCCAGCCTCGTATAGCCTTTCAATTAGTTATTAAGCAAAAGGCAAAAGAACACCAGTAATTTGAGATCGATACAATACCAAAATGACAGCAAAAGTGAAGAAGCGGAAAACTTTTGTTGTTACACTTGTCTGGCCTCAACCGTTCCTCGGCCATATAAAGGTGAAGTTGCAGATTACTAACTTCTAGCTGGAGTTCCTTGATTTGTACAAGAAAAACCAAATCCATAAATGTGCTCTATGCTGTAACGAAAAAAGTTTCCAAATTCATGAGGAAATTCAGAGGGGAAAAAACGATAGGTGGTTTTAGTGACCTTCATATTTAAATTCATAGCATGATCAGGACCACTGGACAAAATCTGCAAGTAAGCAGGCAGCAGGTGCATGTGCATGAGTTCAGGAGTGTTTGGCATTGGCATTGAGGTTGAAATTACTTTGAAATTTTTTTTTTACTTTAAATTAATTATTTTTTCAATAAAGGCTCTTATCCACATCCAACGATCAAAATTCCTCCCCTCCAAAAGAGTGCTTTTGTTGTTCAATCCACCCTCCTAACTTAACCGCTTTTTAAAACCACTCACCTTACCTCAATTGGATAGACAGAGCTGAGAGCACAACAAGCTACAGTATACTGCCCGAAACATGGCAGCACTCTCTGCTATAACATTCACAACCTCAAAAAACCTCTTCAATTCTAACAAACCCACTCTCACTTCCAAACCTACTTCACCATTTTCTTGTCTTTCTTGTTTGTCACATGACAGAGAAACAAATCTCTCATTGAAGTCAGTTTCTAAGACAAAGAAGTGCATTCTTAACGTGGGTTTGGGGCTTTTAGCTGCTTCTGTTCTTGCTTTCTCACCATTGGATGCTGAAGCCACTAGAATTGAGTACTATGCTACGGTAGCAGACCCACCATGTGATCTTAGCTTTGTTCCCTCTGGCCTTGGTTACTGTGATATTTCTGTAGGGTCTGGTGTGGATGCCCCATATAATGAGCTCATTAATGTGAGTCTAACAGTTCAGGAATTTTGCTAATTTATAATCTCGATATTTTTTTTTGTTTCCCTGAATTTCGCTTTATTTAAGTAGTAGTTATACCAAGCTTCAATCTCAAATTAACTAATTAATGATAGTAATTCAATCTGTGTCTAGACTTTAATAAGCTTTTATCTGTTCTTGAACGGGTCTCTCATGTTTTCTGGGGCAATATTGATTGGAGAATTGGTGTGTCTTTTCTATTTTCTGTAATTTTGAGGCTTTCATGCTGAAGGTATGTAATGGATCTAAATAAACCATGTGCTCAGAAATTGTGAAATAATTTTGATAAAGTACTTGACTTAACTGGAGTTGTGAATAACTTTATCCTTAAAGGTTTAGGTTTGTTTGATTCATGATCTACCTATTTGATGTATTCTGTTCATGAAATGTTCCTTGAAGATTCAACTTGTTTCAGTACTATTTCAGTTTTTATTTTTTTCCTGCAGTAGCACCTATAAATAATCTCACTGGAAAAACAACTAGTAAATACCTTGAAGCATCACAATTTGTGTTTTTCTTTCCCTCCCTCGACACAGGTCCATTACACTGCAAGATTCGCTGATGGGAGAGTCTTTGACAGCAGCTATAAACGCGGCAGACCTCTCACTATGCGCATTGGCGTTGGTAAGGTGTGAAAGTATTAGCTAGAATTATCAGTTTGGTTCCATTTTCTTCTCAAACATGCAAGTGGAAAGATTTTATGTTGAACTCCTAATTTACAGCTAATCAAGTTAGAGGCTTGTAAGACTAGGGTCTAAACTACTTGCTATCATGTATTTGCCAAGTCACAGCTCATAGTGCTCTGTAGAGATGTGAGTTTTACTACTTTTGTCTTCATCCATAGGTTACATTATCTGCATGCCATATTAGTTACTTGGTATTCTTTGCTTAGATTGGTGATAATTTATTCCTTCTTAATCTAATGGATGATTGCGGGCGGATCACCATATTCCATACTGTCCCCACGTAAGGATAGATAGAGTTTTCTTGTACAATGCTTAACAAAATATTTTTGATACTGCTCTGTACTAGCATTTTTCTGTGAATCCTTCTATTGTAAATCGTAATGATGAAGGCTATTAAAGAGCTAAATTGAATCTTCCATTAGGTAATCTACAACAAGAGCTTTTGAAACTTTTTATGCGACTCCTGTGAATTGGGATTTTTCTTTCATTAAGCTGCTCTACCATTCTTTACAAAACAATAAACAGAGAATATCAAATATCAAATGATGCTGCGTATAATTTCCCCACATACATCTGCATCAGACAACTTTATTTTACATGGTTATTTATTTGTTCAGGTCATTAGAGGATTGGATCAGGGAATTCTAGGGGGTGAAGGGGTGCCCCCAATGCAAGAAGGTATGTTTTTGAGAGGAAGAAAAAAAAAAGGAAAGAATTTTGTTAGTTATTTTGCTCTTCGTATTTATTCTTATTTTCCCAAAGGTTTTGTCAAATTGCTGACTTTTTACAGGTGGAAGACGCAAGCTATATATTCCTCCTCCTCTAGCATATGGTCCAGAACCTGCAGGATGCTTCTCAGGTGATTTTTTCATATGAAGCATTCCATATCATTGAACACTTAAACTACTCGTAGGTATTTAAGCTTAAAATATTCCAAAACAGATGCAGAGTACAGGTTTAACTACAGACAGTCAGGCACAAGAAAAACTATAAATTGTTCCTTTTTGTTTCTCCATCCTCCTGCCTTCGAGTTCATGTGTATTGAATTTGCAGCGCAGCTGTATGGATTCCTAGTTTTATTACTGTTGGTACAATGACTCATGCTGTTGATCTATATTGCCAATGTCTTTTGTCATTTAGTTTTCTTATGCCCCCAAATTCTGCATCAAATGTGTGGTCTTACTCGTTATGCATCATTGTCTTGATGTTATGTGCTCACTAACATGACTGTTTTTGTATAGCTAAACTGTTTTAGTGCAGCATAAGGATAGAATTAGAAGCACTAATGCATTCATCCAATATTTGCACTTGTTACCTGGAAACTAACTGCCATTATATTGTTTACACAGGAGATTGCAATATCCCTGGCAATGCAACGCTTCTCTATGATATTAATTTTGTTGGAGTTTATTCTGGGAATAGGAGTTTACCAAAAAGATGAAAGTCTAGTGTAGATCATCAAGTGAGTTTCCTCTCGTTATCTTGGAAATGATGTCTTGGATTGATGCTGGGATCGGAATCCAGGAACTTCTTGAACTTCCAGAAGCAGCTTTTTTTTGTATGCACTTGACTCAGCTATGAGATCAAGAGCCTCATAGGTTGGTCATGGCTCATGTGTGGAAATTTACATTTTGAAGAAGTGCATAATAGAGCATATTCTTCACACCCCCTCCTCGGCATGTCATAATCTCTCTGAACTTGATAAAGCGATAAATCCTACTTTTGGGGATTTAAGTAGTAAAAACATAAAAAAGGAGGATTATTCCCTGTTTGAGTGCTAGAAAGTACTCAAATGGGGAGGACAATGGTTTGTGTATGTAAAGTGACTTAGATTAATGGTGGTCATTTACGCATCCATTTTTCATTATGAAGTTAAAGGTCTCCTTGAAATCTTGGAAAACCTGGGGAGGATGAGGTCAATTATGCTTATCAAACAACATTTTCTGCTAGACAATGCATGCTTTAGTTGCAGGAGAAGACAGGAAGACTGGTGTCACGTGTTAGGTGCAGATTTTGGTTACATACTATGATTGTAACTGTGTGATAACGCTACCTAAGAAGATCACTAAAATATAAAATGCCCCACCCATGACATGCATCATCCATCAGCCTCTTCTCCAGGGATTTTCAACCATGTTAGTACTTTTCAAACAAAATGATACTGCATACCAGGCTGTATAAGATACGCGCTAGCAATGGCTCAAAAGGCTAATTGGCACTAACTGCATCACCATTAGATCACCGGGAAGTAAATAGCTCAAGTGAATGTCATTCTCTGCTCCTGTCGTACCGAAATGTTTTCTTTCCGTTGAATGTTCCTGAAAGGAGCTGTTTCTAGAACCTTAAAGAAATGAAGAGCAAACTTTTGAGTATAAGTTATTGATTACTTTACAGTATTCGCCTTTATTCAAAAACATAAGCAGTGGTTTCTTCTGACATGCTCGACTATGCTTGCTTGGAGGTGGGAATTATTCTTTTTCTCACGGGGTGGAATTAAACAATCTCATTGTCAAGAGTAGTTGATTTTCTTTCCCGAGCATGCAGCGACAGCATAAAATTTTTATGTCATTTGGATGTTATCTTTTGATTTGATTTGTCTAGTTAGTCTGCCAAGTTTCTTATTATTAGCTAACAATCATTTTATTCCTATGTGCTAGAGGTTTTACCTCTTACAATTCATATAATCTGCTCTCCCTCAGGAGCCAAAATGTGCTAAAAATACTTATATGTTCGATCATTTTAGCCTCATCTGACAAACTATATCAGTTTGCTGAAATGCATGATTCGGACGCTTAATATACGCGACGATTCACATGGTCTGCCTTGACAGAAATCCCAAGGAAAATTAATGAACATAAAATATGTCCGACAAGGAAGAAAGTTGCTTCTTTTTGTTTTTTCCTTGTGTTATCGGGTGCTTAATCTTGAGGTGGAAATTAAGCGTAGGCATGATTTTTTGAAGCTGTGTGAGAAACTGTATTGCACATGAATCTCTGTTTATATTATTGATACATGTCTTTACGCTTCCTCTGGATCAGAGAAAGGTTGAAGAAAATTGGAAAGAAGGATTCTTTTTCTCAGTTTTGGTTTTGAGTGGATGTGCTTTTGTTGGGAATTTCTCTTCTTTGCCTTTGTCCTTGCCTTCGATTGGGAACCGAATGGATTCCAAATCTTGAGATTTTAAATCTTAACGCCAATGCCTTTTTTACCACACCTTGGGGTTAGGCATTCTTGCTGGTTCAGCCAAATTCTGGCCTAGTATATATATACCATTCTAGCTGAGTGCCTGAAGCTCACTAATGATCAATATAAACAAAACTTCTTTGGACATGGGATTGCTCCTCAGTAGGCAAATTGATTGCTTACTTAAATTAAAACTTTTAGTTACTTTAGATCTGCACCATACATCCTTAATTCCTTGTTATGAACGCTCGTTGGAAATGCAACTTCCTTGGATCACCCAAGCATGGAGACTTGACCACAGCTGTTAACACTATTCAGTCATAAAATAGATTAAAAAAAACATAACATCGTGCACCAGAAAATGAAGTGAAGGAAGCTGCTACTGCTCAAAGTGGCTACCCACAACATTTCAACATCAAATACCTAAACCCATGCTAAAGTAGTCTAGGCCCAACAAAACCACTCACTGCAACGCCACAAAACATTGATTGAGACCATTCAAAAAACCAAAAAGGGTGACGACATTCATCCACTCACTAATCTACTCATAATTTTATTTTACTGAATCATGAGAAAATCCCCCAAGAACGAAGCTGAAAATGAGAAGAACTCTACATGGGAATTTTACAGTGGTTTTTTAACTCGTGAGAAGGAGAAGCAGGTGGATGGGACATTTGCTGTACTCTTAATTTCGGTTGCGTTACATGATAGAGCAAGCATTTGGGTTGTCGTCACTGAAGATGGAGGTGTAGGGGTCCTCATATCTGGTCACGGTGCCTGTGGTGACAGTGTTTTCTACATTCCTGACATAACCAGGAGGAGCCTTCTTGTCATAAGCCTGAACAGCGTAAGGTTGAGCCACTAAATTGTAAGGAACATATGGCCAAATCTCTGCCTTTTTCCCTGTTGACTTTGCCTTCTTCAACACCTTATTTGAATCAACATATCCTGTTACAGTCACCCTTTGTTGTTTTCTGTTTATCTCCACCTTTTTAACCCCTGCATAAATGGCAAACGCAAAAATGAATTTAGTCAGGTTCAAATGTATCACTTTCTCTTCAGCTGCAAAATTAAGAAGAAGAAAAAAACAGTGCAGCGGAAAATAAACAAGAGAGGTGAAAAGGCAGGCAACATACCACTCAATGAAGAAATGGCATTCTTCACCTTAAGTTCACAGCCATCACAGTCCATCCTGACCTTAAGCTCAACAGTCTGTAACTGCTTCTTCTTGTTTTTATGGCCTCCACTTCCCACCAAGTCGGATAAATACTCCAAAGTGCCACTAACTCCCATCTTTTAGGTTACAGATGGTCTCTTAATGGTTCTGAAAATATTCTTCTCCGTAAGTATAAAAAGTCAGAATTACCAAGGCAAGTTTTTGAGAGCTTGACAGAAGATAACAAAACCCCAGACAGATAGTTTCTAGACGAAACAAAGGTGGGGAAGATAGAAATTAGAAGACAAAAAAAGAGGTGTGTTTCTTGAAAGAAAGAACGAAGTAATGTTTATTAATTTATAGTACCACCAAAAACATTTGAAGTGAGAGCTAAACAAGAAGTTACAAGGAGCTTCCAGAAAACAATGGATTCTTTTCTTTCCTTCTAACAAACAAAGAAAGAGGGTGTTAAGGCTGCTCTCCTTCCTTTACTTCCTTACTTCCCTTGAGATCTTTCTCTCACACAGGTCTGCTGCTTATATAGGCCTTTCCATGGCCTGATTCACACAGAGAGAAAAGGGTCGTGGCCCCCCCTACAGCAATAAACAAATATTTTAAGAAGACATGATATTTTTGTTCTTCTGTTTGATGACATTATCCTTCAATAATAAGACATTGTTTGTGTTTTCTTACTAAGAAACCTTTGTTCTTCGGATGCAAGGGAGAAAATGTGGAGGAAAGTTTGCAGCTGTGCCCCTTCTATGTCAATTGTATCTCTTGTTGAGTTGGGTAGTGTCTGCTACCTACCCTGTATTACAATTATTATAAAAAAACAAGTAAAACTAAGGTTTTTTCACGCGTACATTCACATGTAAATCATAATTATGTTTTTTCCTCTTTCTAAAGAAACCAAGATAACCTGAGTAGCTTTTAAATTAGTGAAAGATCTCCTAGAAAACAAAGAAAAAAATAGCAGATCTTGATCTTAAATTAAATTAAATGCTAAAAAAATTAAAAAATAATAATTAAATATTGAAAAATAAAATTAAAAATAAAAAAAATCTCAAAGTAAGAAAATAACAACAAAAAATGGAGGATGATAGTAAAAAAAACTTTAAAAATGATGTTAAATAAAATAAATATCAATTAAAAAATACATACCAAATTTGATAAATTAAAAAAATTAAATAATAATAAAATTTTAAAAAATCAATTTTATAAAACAAATGAACGTGTGAATTTTGTAAACATGAGTTAATATCATAAATTCACAACTCAACAAATTCTAGAACTAGGCTAAACCAAAAATAACAATAAAATATTAAAATATAAAATTAAAAAAAAAATATTTTTTTCAAAGTAAAAAAAATAGCAATAAAAAAAGAAAGGATGGAATTATAAATAAAATTAACTTAAAAATGATGTCAAATGAATAAATAGCAAATAAAAAATAAAAATCAAATCTAATAAATTAAAAGAATTGAATAAGGATTGAATTGAAAAAAATAAATTATATAAAATAATTAAAAAAACATAAATTTAAAGAACATGTACCACGTCCAAATAAAAAAAATTGAATAATTACTGTAGAATTTTGAAAGATTAGGTGTAAAAATAAAAAAGAATAGAGAAAAAAACAACTAGCATTGAACCAGGGGAATTATTCCACACATGCCATCCAAAGATGTAAACCTTTTGTTCTACAAGTTCATATTATTTTTTCTCATAAAAAATAATGTTTAGATGTTGCAAACATGTTTTAAAAAAAAATTATGACTCTAGTTATAACATTGGCTAATAAAAAAGGCAATGATAGAAAAAAATAAATAAATAAAGGCAATCACAATAATTTAGAGGATTTTTTTTTCAAGAGTGAAAAAATCATGTAATTTAATTTTCAACCAATTAAATAAAAAAAATAAAAATAAATTAAAAATAACTTTAGTTAACCCAAGTTAACATGATAAACATGTAATCTGTATAATAAACTACAATTTAAATTACGTGATCATAATAACTCAACAAATAAGGAAAAAAATCACAAAGCCAATTATTATATAAAAAAATATGTTGTGTGATGAAATTAAAAAAGAAAATAAGTAAAAAAATAGAGATTTAAATCTATATTAACATTTTAAACTTGTGTTTCGGGTTTTTATACTAGAAGCATCATACATGAAAACATTACGAGGTTCAATCCGTAATAAATCAAATATTAAAGGATAAAGTTGAAGAAAACCAAACATATAAAAGGTTAAAAGTAACAATAAAAAAAATAAAGATAAAAATGATGTAAAAAATAAATTGAAGGACAAATATAATTTTTTTTTATTGAAGAGTGAAATTAAAAAGAAAAATAACTTTAATAAAAAGATAAAGAAAAGCAAAGGAACAATGACAAAGTCAGAAAATATAAATTTAGATTGGATAATAAAATAAAAAATAATAAAACTTTTATAAACAAGCCAAGAAAAAAATAAAAAATAAAAATTAAATTTAAAAAATATATATGTCATATTAAGATTGAATAAT